TATATATATATATATATGTATATATATATATATGTGTATATGTATATTCAGCTGGGTGTAAACAACTTTCTCTAAAATTTTGAATATAAAAAGTAACTTGGAGATTGGCCTAAAGTTTGACAAAGAGGATGGATCAAGACCAGGATTTTCAACAGACTGAGCTAATGCAGAATAAAGTCAAAAATAAAATGCATTTACACACAATAAAGCTTCTGATTATAGAAACAACAACAAAAACTTTGTCACAGTTGCATCTGTTTATGGACTTGTCCAAACACATTACTGAACTTACAGTTTACGTCAAGTCATCAAGAGAATGAATGTTACAATAATTTGGTGATTTTAATATTTTACTTGCGTCGTTGTTTATTCCAGGAAGGAATGATTATGTAAAATACAACTTCAACCATTTTTAAACGGTGAAACTGGATGCACATATTGCAATTTTTCTCTAATTCATTAAAGGTTAAAATTATTAGTACACACTATATGTATCCAAATTGCTCCCCGGGTGCTTACACAGCTGCCCACTGCTCCACCTGGGCATATCCCAGGTGTGATGGGTTAAATGCAGAGAACCAATTTTGTCTTTGTATGGGAACATACAATGATGACAACACATAGCACTTTATTTTATTTATTTATTACTTATCAAACCTTTAGATTCACCAAAAATATTGAATAAATTTAGAATAAATTATGACACAAATCTATAATTTTTTTACTGCACAAGTTGGATCCTCGACGTTACCTGTCAATCAATCCAGTGGACTAATCACTGACCATTCAGCAATCTCAATTTGTCCTGAAGGGAAATGCCCCTTACCAGCAGGAGCTGGAGGTGTGTGTGCGTGTGTGTGTGTGTGTGGGGGGGGGGGTTGGGGGCGTGTTAAAATGCGTGAGAGAAGCGGCGCATGCTCTATACACACAAGGAGAGCTGTTGGTCAGGCTACTTCTTGTTATGCTATATTTGTTTGTCATATGCATATTAACACAAGGTCAAACAATCAGGATGAGAAGAACCGATTCAACTTGCAAAAACATACAAACAAACTAAATAAATCTAAAGCGTGCAATAAAAGTACAAAAATAATATACAAAAAAGTGAATGTTGTGCCATGCTTTCTAAAATAGTTATTCAATCAAGCATTTATTTATGTAGTCAAACGATGTTAAACAACCCATTGAAATACATCAGAATGTAAGAAGTGGCATCTACTTTATTCAAAATTTTCTGGTGGAGAACCCCCCCCGCCCACCAGTGTGTCTTCCCCACCCCCCATTACAAATGCTTCTGATGCCAATGGACACTGCGTTGTTCAAGCCAAGAGCCATTGTCAACACTGGGGGAGAAGCACCCCTAGAAGGTCAGAGTCTAGAATCACCCTGACACACATGTCACTAATATTTGTTAAAATCTCGTGCAGCAAGCTGCACCTCATCCTCTTGCTATTTGTAGCCATCATTCAACAAGTTTCTGGTACAAATCTGGATGAATATTTGACCACTCTTCTTGGAAGAATTTGCCTAAATTTGTTGGTTTCTTGCACTGGCGTGACTTTCAAGCACATTTTTAATGGTTTTGCTGTGAGGTCTTTGAGAGGGCCATTTAATCTTAGTTTTATCCAACCAGTGTGTTTGGGATGAGATATATAGTGTTCAGTTATTATTTTTATGTATGGATGTTTCTGTTCAGTGCCCTGAGATGAATTTTGCTGTGACTTTTCATTCATTCAACCTTTATTTATACAGGTAAATCCCATTGAGCCTCGAGGACTCATTTACAAGAGAGACCTGATTTCAACAAAGAGTGATGACAACAATGGACAACAGCGACAACAATAGACAGTTATAAAAATGCATAAACTGAAATGGATCTTTGTCCTGTTGGAACACCCAGGCCAAGTTTCAGGACTCTAGCTGTTAATTCAAGGTAAATTTGAAGAATTTGGAAGTAGTCCTTCTTCTTCATTGTTTAATCTATTTTGTGTAATGCACCAGTACCAGGGCAGCACGGTGGTGCAACTGGTAGAGCTGCTGCCTCTCAGTGAACAGGTCCCTGGTTCAAACCCCGGTCCAGGGGCCTTTCTGGGTGGAGTTTGAATGTTCTCTCCGTGCATGCGTGGGTTTTCTCCGGGTACTCCGGTTTCCTCCCACAGACCAAAAACATGCATGTTAGGCTGATTGGTAACTCTAAATTGTCCCTAGGTGTGAGTGAGAGAGTGAATGGTTGTTTGTCTCGTTTGTCTCTATGTGGCCCTGTGATGGACTGGAGACCTGTCCAGGGTGTACCCCGCCCTTCGCACAGTGATTGCTGGACATGGGCACCAGCGACCCCCGTGACCCAAAATGGAATAAACGGGTAAAGATAATAGATGGATGGATGGCACCAGTACCACAGCATGGTGTTGCCACCACCATGTTTGAAAGCTGGCTTACACACAGCTCAGTGTTCTTAGGTTTGAAAGCCTGTTGACTCCACCAAACATTGTGTCATTGTGGCCAACCAGCTAATTTTTTGTCTTGTCTGACCATAAAGCTGCTCTCCAGAAGAAATTTAGCTTGTCCACAGGGGCAGCTAGAATCTTTGTGTCCCTTTTGGAACAGGAGCTTCTTCCTTGGATGACACTCTTGCAGTCCTTGGTGACGTAAAACTAGATTCACTGTGGACAGAGACACTGATGTTCCAGCAGGTTCCTGTTCATGGTTGTCTTCACCTTTGTTGGTTCCTGAGTTGCTCCTAAACCAGTTCCCTTTCAGCTGAGGATGACAACGCTTGTCTTCTTTTAGACCATGGCAAGTGGTGATACATTTGAACAACATGGATGATTGTATGATCTGATGAGTCTGGGAACTGAAGTTGTTTAGAAAAGTCTTCAAAAGATTGTCCCAACTTGTGTAAATCTGCAAATAACTTTTTTAGATCTTCACTGAGTTATGAAAATTGTTCTGAATAATACAATACTGTGAAATTAATTCATGGCAAAGAGAAATGAGCAGCTGCAGTCAATCCTGATCAATGAGACATCAGTGAGACTTGGTCTGGTCAAGTTACGACATTCTACAGCCTTCAGTTATTAAATGATTTAGTTTATGTGGGTGCAGCTTGTATGCATAGATTTGACACAGTGTGGATTAAAGGCTTGCGATAAATTAAACATGTGTGCACAATTACTGTATTTTTTTCAAGTTGTAAAATGTATGCGGTTAATCATTAAAAAAGAACAAATAAATTAAAAGGGCATAATTAATGACATGCACACCACTGATGAGTCTATATACATAAACCTCTGATACCACTGTAGCATTACATTTAGTTTCAACAATACACATAGAGTGTTGTGACTGGAATATTTATTGTCTTGATAAAATACATATTTTGACACCACACCTAAAACATCAACTACCTTTAATGGTAGTTCCTGCTACAGTTTGTAGTGTTGCAATGTCCACATGTTGTCCGACAAAGTCACAACGTGCAATCAGGATCAATCTCATTAGAAGTGAAAAAATAAAATAATATAAAAATTCTAAAGTTAGAGACTTGCAGATGAGGCTGTAGAGCTGTGGTTCTCAAACTTCTTGTGTTCTGTGGCCCCCTCACAACCCTCATGGTTATTAAATAGTTTTCTTCAATTTGTTTCTTTAATGCAATGGAAATATTTGTGTAACATTAATACCTAATATGTATTCTTTAATAGTGTTAATACAAATGTTATATTTTTAAACATGGAGTATTTTTCATTTTTCATTCATTTGTTACGGGGGTCTGGGGCCCTCCTCCAGAAAATTTTGAATAAAGCAGATGTCATTTCCTGCATTTTAATGGGTTGTTAAAACTATGTGATTGTAAAAACAAACAAACAAACAAAAAAATCTTTTTTTTTTTTGTGGACCCCCAAACACCAGCTTGCAGACCCTCTGGGGATCTGGGAACCCCAGCATGAGAACCACTGTTGTAGATGGTGCCATCTGAGGTGCTCATGCCACAGCTAAATATATGAACACAGACTACAAAAAGAAAAATATATGTAAGGAATGGAAGAATTTATAAACAAAATTTAGATTTATGTAAGTGAAATTTACCAACGAAAATAAATTTTGAGATTATGTAATTTATTGTATTTTATTAAATCTCAACTCATTTTGACATGCTCTCTCATTTTACTTGAATTACAAAACAGAAATAGTTGTTCAAAATGCTCGCCTTTAATTTTAAAGTGTTGTTTAAGGACTACAACTCCCAGCAACGCTTCCTGGTCATATGACAGCTGTGTGTTCGGTCACGTGACATGTCAGCGCTCTGTTTCCTTTTTTTCCGCAGAGTCACAGGATACAAAGCAAAGAAACCAAAAACTTTTTTATTTCCTTGGCAAACGGCCCGCTACATTGTACGCAGGTGATTAAAAAGGATTTAAGTTTACATTCCGGCTTGTTTTTATTGTAGTTTGTGTGTTTATTAGACTGAATTCATGACAGACAGCGGCTCCCGGCAGGCCTCGCTGTTCACCGACTCAGCATCAGTCCTCACGCCGCTGTTGGGTGGACACTCCTCGGCCACAGCGCCGGCATGGAGCCGGTGCGGTGCTAACCTCTTACTTTTTGTTTTTTGAGAGGGAGAGAAACCAAAAGCAACTACGGCAAGAGATGAGTGTTGTCGGACTTGACTCGTTTAGTTTGGTTGCTGCTGCTGTTGGAGTTTGGAGGTCAGAATGAACGGTAAGTTTGTTCATGTGTTTCTGAGCTGCTCAGCCATGAATGATCAGAGTTCTGCTTTAATAATATTTAACCAGAGCTTAAAGTTCAGCAGCAAAGCTCCTGTTTGTATCAAACTACTCCTCCAGTTCTGACAAAGAGTTGGCACGTTGTGTAAAATAAAATGTAAATAAAGACAAAATACAATGACTTGATAAACCCATCTTTTATTCACAGTAAACAAATCAAATGCTTACATGAAGTAGTCTCTAATTTAGGAAAAAAATAAGTAGTTTTGAATTTGATGGCAGCAACACGTTTAAAAAGTGTTTCCACTGTGAAGCATCACAACAGTCTGTAAACATCCAGGAGCTGAGGAGAGCAGCTGCTGGAGGGAAATGGATTCTAGCTGTTCAGCAGTCCTGACCTGTCTTTGATGATGCACCAGATGTTTTCAGTTGGTGAGTGGTCTGGATGTCCTGAGTTGTCTTTGTACCATGATGCACCAGATGTTTTCAATTGGTGAGGGGTCTGGATGTCCTGAGTTGTCTTTGATGATACACCAGATGTTTTCAATTGGTGAGTGGTCTGGATGTCCTGAGTTGTCTGTGTACCATGATGCACCAGATGTTTTCAGTTGGTTTTCATTCATTCATTCAACCTTTATTTAAACAGATAAATCACATTGAGCCTCAAATACTCATTTACAAGTGAGACCTGTTTGGACAGACAAAAACAGTGGTTAACTGGACACATGTAGGAGTTGGATGCGAAAAAAAATTCCTATCAGACTTTTTTCTTGGCTGAGAAAAACCCCTAATATTGAAAAAACACCTCGCACAAAGAAGCACATATTTACCTAGACATTCTGCAGTAGAGAAGAGCAGGAAGAAGGAAGAGACGAGAGCGGTCAACAACGCTTACAGATGCTCTCGAGGTCACTGTAATCAGTATTGTCCTCCGGTGAGATCCATAAACATTCTCGAGGTATGTCGAGGAATAGCCAAGGATAACCCCTGAGTATCCAAGAGTCCTGAAATGATGACAAAGTTTTTTCAGCGGGGTTTCATCTGGTTATCAGTTGGAAATTCCTCAGGGAGTGGGGTGGTGAGCGTCAGATCACATTTTCTCCAGGCGAAATTCTGATAAGTTGGCCTTCAAGGACACCAAGGCGACCAAATTTTAGATAAACACACAGTTGTTTTGGGGACAGGCAGAACTTAATGACATCAACATTGAGTCTGTGTCGGTCCACTCGGTTCCGAAATGTCCAAAATAACATGACCACACCGATGGAACATGACTGAGTAAAAATCCCCAAGATCTGATCCATTCAGCCCAAACCATTTGAATCCGGGTACTCGAGACATGAAACCAAACCATCATAAAGGCAAGCAGCGTGATCGGGTCCAAATTTGCTGCTGACGACTTCCTTGATTGTAGATAAAAACCAGGACCAGCTGAATCCAAAAAGCAGGAACTGGTTATCGTGAATACAATTAAATATGCATCCTTAAAATCCATAGATGGCAGCAGAGATAGACACATCATCAAGTCTTCCAGTCGATGAGATATCCAGCTGCGTACATGCTAACAGGGTAAATCGGCTCGCCTAAAGCCTGTCTTCTCTTGAAGAAATGTTGTAAATTAAGATGAGGGACCAACTGGTCAGAACAAGTCCATAATTATGGTTCGGAAGAAATGCAAGAGAGTCTCAGAAGCAGTTTCACAGACAGACAGAGCAGCAAAGCGGAGAGGGAGGAAAGCATCCGATCTCGGCTTGAGCAAGTGGAGCAAGTTGGTGAGTGGTCTGGACTCCTGAGTTGTCTTTGTGCCATGGTGCACCAGATGTTTTCAGTTGGTGAGGGGTCTGGATGTCCTGAGTTGTCTTTGTACCATGATGCACCAGATGTTTTCATTTGGTGATGATCTGAACTCCTGAGTTATCTTTGTGCCATGATACACCAGATGTTTTCAGTTGGTGAAGGGTCTGAACTCCTGAGTTATCTTTGTACCATGGTGCACCAGATGTTTTCAGTTAGGGAGGTGTCTGGACTCCTGAGTTATCTTTGTACCATGATGCACCAGATTTTTTCAGTTGCTGAGGGGTCTGGATGTCCTGAGTTGTCTTTGTACCATGATGCACCAGATGTTTTCAGTTTGTGAGTGGTCTGGATGTCCTGAGTTGTCTTTGATGATGCACCAGATGTTTTCAGTTAGTGAGGGGTCTGGACTCCTGAGTTGCCT